AAAAAAAAAAAAAAAAAAGATCATTACTCATTTTTCTCCTTCTCTTGGTAAGTGTTCAAAAAAAAAGATCATCCACATTTTTCTATAATAATAGAGATCTTTAATGCATCATTTCAGACAATGTTTATTATTCAGAGCTGAAGTTAAATGTTCTCTTTGAAGTCAACTTACTGTATAATATTAAAACATTACCTCTACCAATAAAGTTTTCAAAATCAGGCAGGTGTTGAAATGCTTGGGAGCTTTGATGCTACAGATAAAGGATTAGGCTCCATGTTCATTAATTTAAGAAATGAATTTTTATGGTCTCAAAAAAGCACTGTGAGACCTACTGGTACACTGTATACAGAAATTCCAGTCTACTGTAGTAAGGATATGAACGCATACGCATCATCCTCGGTAGAATATAACAGAAGAGTTCAGGTGAGGGCATGTTTTAGGAATGCAGCCTTGAGGAATGCCCAGTTCGTCACAGCAAAAACACCTGGCTGGTAATGATAGCATTCTACCTGACCAAGATGAGATCCTGACAAGTCAAGAAAAGCCCTTTAAATGGGGCTTATCTTTTTACCTCCAACCACATTACCTTGAAATTCTAGCACTATTCAACTGTATGGTTGCAAAAACTTGTTTTATGCCACCAGCATCTTTTTCTTACAATGTCCACAAATTATATGTTAGTAACTGGGTATCTTCAAACTCTGTAATGATAACCAGCCTAGGTCTAGGAAGGACTCACCTGGCCTTACCCCAATACGATCCAACACATAATTGTAGTTAGTACATGGCTCTTTCACCCTGCCCAGCGTCAGTCTCTTCACCTTAATTTTCCTATGGGAAACTTCCTTCGTTTATTCTAGACCCGTGGTCGGCAAACTGAGGCTCGCGAGCCACATGCGGCTCTTTGGCCCCTTGAGTGTGGCTCTTCCTAAGCCTTAGGAATACCCTAATTAAGTTAATAACAATGTACCTACCTATATAGTTTAAGTTTAAAAAAATTGGCTCTCAAAAGAAATTTCAATCGTTGTACTGTTGATATTTGGCTCTGTTGACTAATGAGTTTTCTGACCATGGCTCTAGGCTGTCTTAGTGGGACTGTCAAAGTCCTTAAAGCCATGGGGCAGGCGCATGATCCCAAGTTGGGAAAAGAGACTGGTAGGAATCTGATTGATGAGCACAGGCCAAAGACAGAAAATACAGAAGCTGAGATATTTTGATGGCAGGGCTCTGTAAGGATTGTCTCTTAGTTTCTATAACGTAGATGCCTAAGGTTACCTGGTTTTTATTCTCAGGGCTATTGGTCCAGCCAAAATCTTTTTCCTAGATTTTCTGAGCTGTCCTCTGTCCTGCTGATAAATGTTGTTTCACATAGGATCACTCTAGTGAGTTCCTGCTGTTTGCCATCAAAGAAGCTTACCTGAACCATTCATTAATGTCATTGTAAACTGTTCCCTTCAATTGGAAAGCTATGGCCTTTAACATCTTAATATGCTTACTGTAGATTATATGAGATTTTAAAACTAAGCACTAATATTTGTATCAAGGTGAACAACCCTAAGTTAACTTCAAATTTACTTTAATCCCCCAAAATGGTGCAGTATTTTTATGAATGAATACACTTCTGCCAATACAGTAGTGACCAAAAACACTTTAGTAAACTGGCTTTAGTCTCCACATTTTCAAACTTATTCTAAGTAAAAAATAAACATTAAACACACAGAAGAATGGTCTTTACAACTTTACAAGTAAGAATGACAAATTTAAAGTAAAATACTTGTTCTAAAAGAGAAGTCATACCAGATTGAAAACACTTTGGCCAATTCCTAGACACAGTCACACAAAACTACCTCCTGAGGAAAACTGACCAGCGAGACAGCTAAGTCTCTGCTTTCAACTATAAAGAATTAAATCTAAAATGCATTCACTCTTTCATCTTCTAATGAAAGATAACATACTCTCAGAAACAGCATAAGCTTTGTTTATGGTAATGTAGCTCCTAAATGAAAATATGGGCTGAGTTACAGTTCACTTAGTAACCAAGCTGAGAAACCTTTGAAAATTACCCCTAGATCAAAGTATTTACATAAGTTCAAGTCTTTCTCTTAAGATAAAAGGTAGCACAGAACCTTAACCTTTAAAAAGAATGTTTAAATTACACCTTTGTCAGAACCAGTCAAAACTTTCTGAAATGTTACTTAAATATCAAATTTCTCTTCACAGATGCTATGTCCATTTTCTTCATAATCTTCTCTTGTTACCACCATATCTTCAAAATCATCATTCTCTGATATCAATTTTCCTCCTTCCCAGGCATAAGTAATAGGGCTAAAAATAAAGGTAACATAAATGAATCCAGATGATCTTATAAAACTAAAAGGCAAAAACATTAATTAGTCACTAAAATGTAGCAGAAAGTCATTTAAAGTGTAAAAATAATCATAAACTTCATAGGACTAAAGCAAACTCAGAAAGAAAGGAATCTTTATCAACATTACAAATAGTTATTCTTTTGATTTTTTTCCCTGTGCCCTGAATCTATCTATAATAAAAAAAAAAGCATAATATGCTGATTAGACTAGACAGCCGAAAGACCTTCCGGCTGTGAGGGCCGAGCCCCTTGCATGTATTTCGTGCATCGGGTCTCTAGTTCTTATAATAAAAAACAAGAATAAAAGCAAAAGATTAAAAATACATAAAATGAAAAACACTGTCATCACTGAGTCTAACTTCTGTACTAGTATGCAGCAGATATGTCATCACACAGCAATATAGTTATTACAACACCCATTTTATAAGTCTGGAAAATAAGGGTCAGAGAGATTAAGTCTGGAACTAGATTTAACTGGAACTGATATCACACAGTCTGTGCTTTTGCTGCTATACTCTGTTGCCTCTAATAAATGAAACATTTAGGAAACACAGTGAAAGATAAACGGTTACATGGTAGGACATGGACAGTAAGTAAAACTAAAGCATGTTAAACATTTAGTTTGGCTTTATTTACAAGCAAGGTTATATACTTTGTGTCATAAGGCAATTCTATTTCTACTGTTCCGCTATCCCCAATTCAGTTTCAAATCTAAAAAATGAGAAAGAAAAAAGTTAATGTTTTCCTTATTGTACCTATTGCCATTTCTTTCTTTTTTTAATATATTTTATTGATTTTTTTACAGATAGGAAGGGAGAGGGATAGAGTGTTAGAAACATCGATGAGAGAGAAACATCAATCAGCTGCCTCCTGCACACCTTCTACTGGGGATGTGCCCTCAACCAAGGTACATGCCCTTAACCGGGATCGAACCTGGGACCCTTCAGTCCGCAGGCCGACGCTCTATCCACTGAGCCAAACTGGCTAGGGCCTTATTGCATTTCTTAATCTTGTGGGGAGAGGAATACACACACACACACACACACACACACACGAGTAGGTGTGCAATAAAGATTATATGAATAAAGAATAAAACTACTTCTGTGCATCCCTTAGCCTGTAATGTGTACACAACTTACATTTAAAATGCAGGCCATGCCGAAACCGGTTTGGCTCAGTGGATAGAGCGTCGGCCTGCGGACTGAGAGGTCCCAGGTTCAATTCCGGTCAAGGGCATGTACCTTGGTTGTGGGCACATCCCCAGTGGGGAGTGTGCAGGAGGCAGCTGGTCAATGTTTCTCTCTCATCGATATTTCTAACTCTCTATCTCTCTCCTTTCCTCTCTGTAAAAACTCAATAAAATATATATATTTTTAAAAAAAGCAGGCCTGTTTGGCTCAGCAGATATAGCCTGCGGACTGAAGGGTCCTGGGTTCGATTCTGGTCAAGGGCACATGCCCAGGTTGCAGGCTTAATCCCCAGTAGGGGGCATGCAGGAGACAGCCAATCAATGATTCTCTCTCATTGATGTTTCTCTCTCTCTCTACCTCTCCCTTCTTCTCTGAAATCAATAAAAATATATAAAATAAACAAAATGCAGGGTAAAACTTGGCCAGTGTGGCTCAGTTGATGGGAGCGTTGTCCCATATACTGAAGGGTTTTGGGTTCAATTCCCGGTCAGGGCACATAACTACATGGTGAGTTCAATCCCTGGTCGGATCACATATGAAAGGCAACCAAGTGATGCTCTCTCTCACATCAATGTTTCTCTCTCTCTCTCATTCCCCCTCTGAGATCAATATGCATACTCTAGGGAGAGGATTAAAACAAACAAATAAATAAAATTCAGGATAAAAATCCAGTATGCTTCATACTCTAAAAAGAGTATATGAACATCAATGATGATAAAAATCATTTAATATCTAATGGTAGTTTATTCTTCTACCTGATAGCTATGAAATAAGTAATCAGATGAGGGCCTGCTATAGGTTTTGAAAATTTCTACTTTAGCTTTAAAACATAACTCTAAAATTAAGTCAGGTATGTGGGGTCTCTGCCACTTAAAACTTGGGAGGGAGCAATTATTAGACATCTATTTTGTAAGAGCTCCTGCCTCAAGGTGAAGAGAAGTGGGTTTGGATTTGGTCACTGCTATCAAATCGCTGTAAAGCCTTTGCCAACTTATGAGTCCTTGCTTCTTTATTTACAAAGTAAGAACATTGGACAGGATGATGTGTAAGCCTTCCTTACAGCTCTAAAATTCTGCCTTAATTTTTTTACCAATAAAGTAGAAATGATATCTGCTTTTTTTCATAAAACAGGGTAGGGGAATATATATAAAACAGTTTTGAATTTAACAAAAACTAATTACATTTAAAAGTTAATTTAAAATATTTTAAATTATTTTAAAACATTCCAAAACAACTTATGAATGGACATAACTTATCTCAATGGGTAAAGTCTTAAATTTCTATACTTGATAGAAACACTCAGGAAATGACACACCTCAGATAACTCAAACAGATAATAACCTAATTGCTTTGCCTACAAAAACTCTTTGGAAAGAAGACTGACTTACTAGAGGGAAGTGCCCATCATGTTCCAATCATTATGGTGGGGACTTAAAATACTTCATAAGACTGAATCTACTAAAATGGAAGGTTTGTCACTTCAGTTTTGTTGTTGTTGTTGTTAATCCTCACCTGAGGATATGTTTTTCACTGTTTTTCTCAAAGAGCATGGAAGAAAGGGGGTGGGGAGAGGGCGAGGGAGAAGGAGAGAGGGGAGGGAGAGAGAAAGAGAGAAACATATTGATTGGTTGCCTCTCAAATGAGCTCCAACCGGTCGGGGGTCAGGGGGAGTGAACCCGCAACCCAGGTACGTCCCCTTGACCAGGAATGAACCCAAGACCCTTCAGTGTGCGGGCCAATGCTCTAACCACTGCACCAGCCAGGGCTATCACTTCAATTTTTGAGTAAAGGAAAATGAGGATCCAAAAGGTGAAATAAACCTGCCAACATGGAAGAACCAGGTTTTAAACTCAAGTCTGCTTTATCCACAGTCCACTTCATCTACAGTCTGCCATGTTTTGTGTCTACATGAGCCAACACTTACTTTTCAGGCAGCACAACAGAAACATCATAATCTGTTGGAGTGAGACATCGAACTTCTGAGTAAACCCGATCCCTAAATCCTGGGAAAAGGGAATTTCCTCCTGTCAAAACAATGTTTCTAAAAAAATGCGGCTGCATTTCTGTAAAAGAAAAAAAGGGAGAATGGAGAGAAAAAAGACATTAGAAAATCTGTTTACCTATCTTCATGGCATAATAAAGATGAGGGCTTAGGTAAAAGCAATTAGGGATTATAGGTACTGGTTGGGAAACCATATACTATTTTTATAATCATATAAATTGTAATTTCTGAGATTTTATAATGACATTACAGATAAATAGGTATATTAAACAGAAATATGACCTCTAAATATTGAACAAAGACTAAGGTAAGGGGCTGAACTATGGGCTACTTACTATAAGCTGTAACATTATATTTATATCAGTAACATTCTACTAGCAGACATTTGATAATTATAATTGTTCTTCCCTAAAATGGAAGGAATCTTTGTGTAGGTTGAGACTGAGCTAGTGAAAGATGAAAAGAAGGTCCTTCATGACATTTTAACGTCATGCTATCTCACTGAGATGGGTATTTAAGTATGTGCAATACTTAATAGTGAAAAATACTCAATCTATCATCATATTTAAAGAAAGGATTTTGTTTCGCACTCATTAAAGTTATATGATGGCAAACATTAAGTGCCATATGGTCAGCCAGTATTAAAAGCCTATGCAGCACCCCAGGGAAATTTATCAAGAATTATAATACTGAACCCTTGCCGGTTTGGCTCAGTGGATAGGTCAGCCTGTGGACTGAAGGGTCCCAGGCTCGATTCCGGTCAGAGGCACGTGCCCTGATTGCGGGCTCGATCCCCAGTGGGAGGGGTACAGGAGGCAGCCGATCAATGATTCTCTCTCATCATGGATGTTTCTATCTCTCCCTCCCCATCCCTTCCTCTCTGAAATCAATAAAAATATATATTTTTAAAAAATTACAATACTGAGTACCGGCGCAAGACAAGGAATGAGTATATATTGACACTGAGTCTCCTGTCATGACATTAAAGGAGTAAACTGTTGCATACCTCATGACTGTAACTTTATATAAAGTATGAAATTAATATGAAATATTAATATGAAAATAGTTGTTATTAATATGAAAATATATTAAGGGGTTGGAATTATTGACTTTCTTTTTCATTTTTCCTTTTTTTAATATATCAGAAGGAAAGGATGTGGCATATGCTACGTTTTCTCCAATGCCTAGTGTTCCTTATGAACTAGGAAGACATTTTCAAGATATAAAAGTACTTTAACACTCAAGAATATTAGTTAGCCGAAACCGGTTTGGCTCAGTGGATAGAGCGTCGGCTTGCGGACTGAAAGGTCCCAGGTTCGATTCCGGTCAAGGGCATGTACCTGGGTTGCGGGCACATCCCCAGTAGGAGATGTGCAGGAGGCAGCTGATCGATGTTTCTCTCTCATCGATGTTTCTAGCTCTCTGTCTCTCTCCTTTCCTCTCTGTAAAAAATCAATAAAATACATTTAAAAAAAAAAAAAGAATATTAGTTAAATCATGCTTCTGGAGAACCCAGACTTCACTCCGAAGTATCATACTTCAATCTCATTAAAATTATATCAATCCAAATGTAACAGAAAGAATAAACCAATCCTACCAACAGCTGAAAACCATTAAGTTGCAAAGTTATAAAGTCATGTTCTGTGCAAAGGTGGGTTAAATTAAAACTTTTTCTACAATAGATATGATAATTTAATACTCCTGGAGAATTTCTTCAAGTTTAAGTGTACAATAATGACTTTTTCCCATATGAGATGTATAATCTGGGACCAATAAAGAATTATTCAAGTATGTTATTGGATCTGGAAATCTCTACAAATAAAAGACTTGCTATTTCCGAAAATTATTTAGAAGAAACAGATGACTTCTCGAGTTCACATAAGGCTTTGTAAAAATATCATTACTACTCAGTATTTTAACTATGTACCTTCAGGTAAGTTCTGAATTGAATAGACAATAGCTTCTGGAATTCCCATTTCTTGAATTCCTATATCAGAAGGATTAAAGAGTATTTCTGGTACAGCAAATCTTTCATTGGCCAGACGAAGAATTTGTTCCCCAGATTTATATTTTCCACTTAGCACCATCTCTTCCCTTGGCTTAAAGTAAAAGATAAAATGTTTACCACATTATCTAGATCACATGATGAATAACATTTAGTAATATATAATACTAATATATTAACATGTTCTTGGAAGTTTCAGGTTCTCAGAAGTTAGTAGTTTTCTCTCCTCCTGTTGCCTAAACTACACAAATAAATAATTAGTGACCCTAACATAGCTGTTCTCCCAAAGATAATCTGGCTTTATTCCACACATTTTAAAACAGAAAGAAAGGAACAGATGAGAGGAAACTTCATAAAGTACTTATCATAGTAGACTGATTGCCATTTCCAGAGAACAAAGAACATACTCTCAATAGAAAACACTTATTGTCTTATGCTTCTTCCGTTATCTACTTTCATTCCCTTATTGCTTATTGAATACTGTGGTTCATTCTATTAGGATATTCCCTTTCCCTTGTGCAAAAAGCTTACATCTTTACATTTATTATTTATTCAATCTTATTTAAAAATCTGTTTCCAAATGACTTAAACAAATATATGGGCATTACCACTGAAATTCTCGTTATTTTCTGCTAACCCACCCATCTGTGAGCTGTGTTCCTGAGGGACTAGGAAAAAAAAACTCCTTCTACAATATTGTACATCATTAAAATAATATTCCCTCTCAATTTTACTAAGAATCATCAGCTTTTCTAAATTCAGTTATAGACATTCACTTCATTTGACTCATATATACAATTTTCCTCCCATAATAGAGTATATCCTAATCCTTTATATAGGTATAAAAATACTTAAAATATATAAAAAGAAATATTAATAATTCAGTCCTGGGTCAACTGTATCAATATTCACAACAGGCAAATAACCAACTTCTGTTTATCTCCAGATTTGTCATTCAGCTGACAGTTGTTTTTCTAAATAACTTTAGTGAGACATTTATTAATCATTTATGCACTTGTAACTGGAAAAATGGCCACCAGGAAGGCAGCCAATCAACAATTCTGTTAAAACTCCACTAATCCCAGCTGGATGCTTTTCAAATCTGACTGAGGTGGTCACTTGAAGAAATATAATGAGGATTTTTCAAATTACCTTACAAAAGCCCTTTTTAATTGTACTAAAGTCAGGCAAAACATAGTCTATCATTACTGTATTTTCTTCTCCTTTCAACCTGGAAAACAAAATAGAGACTTGTGAAATATTTTAACTATGTATAACAATCCCAAGAATCAACTTCCCAATTCTTAGATTACCATTATACATACTTGGCAATATCCATATCTCTATAAAAATCCTGAGACACATAGCATACATCTTCTTTCACTTGATTAATCACGTGTGTTTCATCCATAACATGTAACTGCCTAAAAAGAAATAAAAATTTTAAATGGAAAAGAGCCCCGGCTGGTAAGGCTCAGTTGGTTGAGAAATGTCCTGTGCACAGAAAGTCATTGGTTCAGTTCCATCCTGATCAGGGCACATGCCAGGGGGGTGGGCTAGATCCCCAGGGGGAGGGGTGCAGGAAGCAGTCAATAGATGTTCTCTTTCTCTCTCTTCCTTTCTCTCTCAAAAACATATTTAAAAAATGATAAGGAAAAGATTTAAATATAACGTATAATGATCATTTAAAATATTTTTTTCTGGAATTAAATTTTCAGGTAACTAATTTTTTTAAAATAGTAAATTCTTGAATGTGTAAATTATTTGTAACTTTATGAAATACTTATTTCCATTATTATTTTTTTTATTTAAAACTTTTATTGTTGACACTTGCAGATGTCCCCCATTTTCCCCTCCTTTGCCCACCTCCACCCAGCCCCATCCTATTTCCATTATTTCATTTTATCTCCACATTATCCCTCCAAAGGCAAATGTAAGTCCAGTTTAAAGAAGGAAACTGAAAACGTGTTAAGGGGTAAGGTTTACCCAATTAAAGAGCAAACTTTTTCCTCCAACCATTCTGAATAGAATCTTGCTTTTAACTCTTTGCACTTTCTTTTCTGATTGCAAAAGTACTGTGAGTCAGCACACAGTACCTGGCATGTAGTGGATCCTTAATAAATATTTGATGCGTAAATTAAAAAAAAAAAACCACAGGTTTAATGTATAAAGATTTGCAAAAAACAAAAATATAAGCTTACTTCCTTTGAATATTTTTTGGTGTGCATAGATTATATACATGTTTACTTTTCATGTTTTAGATTAAACATTATCTCATGAACATTTTCTTATGCTATTACATACTCTTTAAAAATTATTTCTTACTGCCCTAAAATATTCAGTCAGAGGGAGCTGTTAAAATGTATTTGTCAATGTTCCTAATGTTGGGAGTTTAGATCAGGGAGGACAGATAAACATGGACTTGGGAGCCACAGACTTAGATTAAATCCAATTTAGTAGCCAAGTTACTTTATCTTTTTGGGACTACAGCTCTTCAACTCTAAAAAGGTAATATCAACAATTTAACATAGCTGTAAGTTTATTATTCTAATCATATATATAAAGTGTTTAGCATAGTCCCTGTACTCAATACATAATTTTTGCTTCTGCCCCAGCCAGTTTGACTCAGTGGATATAGTGTCAGCCAGCGAACTGCAGGGTCCCAGGTTCGATTCCAGTCCCAGTAGCAGACGTGCAGGAGGCAGCCAACCAATGATTCTCTCTCATCATTGATGTTTCTATCTCTCGCTCCCTCTCCCTTCCCCTCTGAAATCAATAAAAATATATTTTAAAAATAATAATTATTATTATTGCTTCTATCTTTTTGCTTTTAACAACATAGTCATATACACCATATTCCGCCTTCTCCAAGATGCACAAATGTAACAATGAAAAGAAAGAAATGCTAATTAAACTATGACAATTCTAAGGTACCAATGATTGGAAGATTCACCTCAATTTCAAAGTTAAAATGTAAAAAAAAAATAAACTCAGGAGTAATGAAATATAGTACTTTTATCTATATCTCTGATTATTATGATTATTTATTCATACTCTAAAATGCAGTATATAAAATACTTAGTCTCTTGGTATACTGCCAAATTATTTACCAGAAAAGTTATTTCAAGTTGTGCTCCGATCAGCAGCAAATGAAGAGTGCCCATATCACAAATCTACATCATCTTTTGAAAAAGTTCCATATATGTGCATTGTTACATGGTATTTTAATGTGCATTTTCTCTACTAAGAAGTGCCATGAGAAAGGAGTTCTTGTTTATTTTGTTAACTCATGTATCCTCAGCTCCTCAACAAATAACTGATAAGGATTTGAATTAAATCTTTCATTTCTATAGGAGTTTAACATTTTTTTATGTCTGAGAATTATCCATAGATATCCTTTGCATGTAACGCTCTAGTGATCATCTATCTGTGCCACTGACCATTTGTTTTCTGAGAATTACCTAACTAAGGGTAGCTTTCTTATGGGTTAGTAAGCGCCCATAATTAATAAAGAAAATAATACTGTCATATTTGTTTCAGTTTTATGTTTATCTTAGTTTTATTGTTTTTTTAAGTATATTTTTATTGACTTCAGAGAGGCAGGGAGAGGAAGAGATAGAAACATCAATGATGAGAGAGAATCATTGTTCAGCTGCCTCCCGCAGGCCCCACACTGGGGATCGAGCTCACAAGGCAGCATGTGCCCTGACCAGGAATTGAACTGTGACCTCCTGGTTCATAGGTCAATGATCAGCCACTCAGCCACACCGGCCAGTCTCCTTATACACATTTTAAATCTGTTTTACAATGCACATGAATAACATTTATCATTTTAAAATATTAATATATTAAATTCTGTAGAATTTGGGATTGTCTTTTTTAGTGGACAATACCATTTTAAATGCTAGAAAGCTTTTCGATTTAAACATCGTTAGTATTTATATATGTGATATAGCTTTTTAAGCACTAATCATATAGAAATGCCACCTGAAGTTACAACTACGGGTAAAGAATAATTTTAAGTTGCTTGAAAAACTTCATTGCCAGCATCCCATCCTCCCAAAGAATAAAAGTTAAGTATTACCTATAAGATATGATCTCCTTTAGATGATTGGTTAGGAGTTTCCCTCCCACATTTATCCTAAAAAGGGAGAATGGAAATTTGGATCAGTTTACTACACATTTTTCAGTTTTATTCTAAAAAATAACATAAAAATGAAATGCAACTCACCGAATAATTGCTTCTTTTTTCTTTTTACTTCTACAATAAGGAACTATATGTGTAAAGGAGTACCCACTATCAACAATGATACAGCATAATTCGGAAGGGTTATCTCGGAAATACCTATGTGCACTGAGAGCCCCAGCTATTAAAAAAAAGGTAGAGAGAAAAAGAAACATTATAATTATTTTAAAGCAATAAAGAAAGGTAGAAACTAAGGCAAAGACATATGTTTTTCTTTTGTTTATAAGAAAATATTAATTTATTACTATATTCCTAACTGTCAAAAGTTCCTTATAGTGTTTAAACTTTCAAATATCACTTTTTTGTGGTAAATATAAATTTGGGATCAATTTTTAAAGGTCAATTTTCATTTCATAGCTTATAATATTATTTTGACAACAGATAATTTTACTGAGCATTCATTACATTTTGGAGACTATACTAAACCCCATTGAGTATGTGTGCTTTAAATCTCACAACAGAAAAACCAAGATGGCGGCATAGGTTAACAACGGAGTTTGCTGCCTCGAACAACCACTTCAAAAATACAACTAAAAGACGGAACAGACATCATCCAGAACCACAGGAAAGCTGGCTGAGTGGAAATTGTAAATCTCACAACAATCCCGTTTTATAGAAACTGCAGCACACAGAAGCTAAATAATGGCCCAGAGTCATACAGTTAGAACCAACCAGAGCCAGGATTCAAACCTACGCAGTGTGATTTTAAGGCAGAGCTTCTCAACCTTGAAAATACTGACATTTGGGGCCAGATAATTCCTTGCTGTTAGGGCTGTCCTGTGCATTGCAAAATGTTTAGCAGCATCTGTGTCCTCTACCCACTAGATGCTGGTAGCATTTTCCCAGTTGTGACAACCAAAAACGTCTCCAGACACTGCCAAAAGTCCCGAGGAGCAAAATCACCTTTGTTGAGAACACTGCTCTAGAGATTCTGCTCTTAACCAGAATTCTGCTCTTAGTACTAGAGGCTGGGTGCATGGATTTGTGCATGGGGGGAGGGGAGTCCCTCAGCCTGGCTTGCACCCTCTTCCAATCCGGGATCCCTCAGGGGATGTAGCAGTGCACCAAGCAGCAGGTGGCCAGGGCGAAGCCTGAGGCGGGGCCAAATGCTGCACTGCTTGTGCTCATCTAGGCCGGCTGCACCTGCCGCCACAGCCACTTGGTAGCATTACCACGCAGTTGGGAGAGGCTCCTGCTGCTGCAGCTGCGCTCACCAGCTGTGCGCCCAGCTCCCTATGGGAGAGCACTGACCACCAGGGGACAGCTCCTGCATTGAGTGTCTGCCCCCTGGTGGTCAATGCACATCATAGCGACTGGTCAACCGGTCTTCCCATCGTTCGGTCTTAACAGTTGCTAAGGCTTTTATTTACACACACACACACACACACACACACACACACACACACACACACACACACTAGAGGCCTGGTGCACAAATTCTTGCATGGGTGGGGTCCCTCAGAGGTAGCCTGCGGGGATCAGGCCAAAACTGCAGAACAATGCGGCCTGCTTCTCCTGCCTGCCACTCCCTTTCATCCCGGCCCCCACTGCCCCTGCCATGGGCTCACGTCCAGTCAGTCCCAATCAGGAGACGCTGGTGCTGCCACAGCGGCACTTGCCAGCCGTGAATCCTGTGTCTAGCGCCCATCCTGAGAGGGGGTTGGGGGGACCAGGAAGTGGTGGGACACCCTTGCCAGCCTGCGATCCAGATCTATCCCACTGATGTTTGCACTGGTTGTTGGGAGCCACCTGGCGGCCACTTTTACATTGTTTCTTCCCTGTAGAGCACCTCGGGAGGGGAAGTGGCCGCGGTGCCTGAGGCTGACTTCCAGGAGGCCAGCAGCGCTGTCAGGATTGTGCCTGGCCCGTTCTCTGGAGATTAGACCTGCAGGACTACTGAGGGAGGGAGTGGCTGCCACCAGGCTGGTGGGCCGCCAGGTCTGGTTGGTCAGTTGAGTAGTGCTCTCGCTATGGGAGCACACTGACCACCAGGGGGCAGCTCCTGCGTTGAGCGTCGGCCCCCTGGTGGTCAGTGTGCATCATAGCAACTGGTTGACCCGTCATTCGGTCATTTAGGCTTTTATATATATAGATTGTTGCTTTATACAGACTTTAATTCTGAAAGCTAAATATCTTAGTACATTCATTGTACAGCCATGTAATGTAATTCTAACCTTTAATAAATTTACTCCTGGATGATATTGATAGATCCTATGTTGGCAGTCTGACTATTAACATTTTTTCAATCAATTATAATAGCAAGCATATCTGTAACAGAAAAAAAAGATAACTACCTCAGAAATAATAATCTTTCAGAGATTAGACATATGTGGCTAGTAACTTCATTAGGGTGAAATATTATATAAGTAAAAAGATAAAATGAGAGAAGTCTGACTAATCTCTAAGGGTCCATCTAGTTTTTAAATTCCGTGTTTTATTTCTTTCAAATCTAAAAGAATATTCTTGGATTTTTAAAAAATATATCTCATTGATTTTTTTTACAGAGAGGAAGGGAAAGGGATAGAGAATTAGAAACATCGATGAGAGAGAAACATTGATCAGCTGCCTCCTGCACACCGGCCACAGGAGATGTGCTCGCAACCTAGGTACATACCTTTGACCAGAACCGAACCCGGGACCCTTCAGTCTGCAGGCCGACGCTCTATCCACTGAGCCAAACCAGCCAGAGCATATTCTTGGATTTTAAGTGTTCATTTACCCTATTCATATCCATATTCACATAACTCAATTCCAACCAAAACATTAACTCACCATTTACTCTTAATACTGCTTGGAACTGGTATTCTTCAAATAGGATCTCATTCATTGATTCTTGAATAGAAGTAAAGTTAAAATATGGTTCTGTGATAATAATATTAGTATCTAAAAAATCAACCTAAAAGAGAAAAAAAATCCCAAAAGTTTCATAACTTTGTGTTATAATTATAAACATATTTCACATATATAATCAGACTTACTTTAAACTCACAATAATCTTAGGAGACAGGTCTTATTATACCCAGTTAATAGGTGAGTAAACCGAGGCATCTGAGAAAGTTGAATAAATTACCAAGGTTCATATAACTAGTTAGTGACCTAGGTTTTGAACACAGGAAGACTGGTAACAGAATTCATGCTCTTTAACTATTATTCAATTTTAGCTGTCTTAATAGTAGCATTAACAAAATGGTTCTATCAAATTGTATAAATATAATTATGCAAAAGTAATGAATAACTATAAGCATTGGGGCTATTGTTATTTTGCTTTTGAATGTTAAGAGGCGAGAAGCTTGAGGATATTTAATATGTACATAATTCTCTACCAACCATTCTTAAGTAGCATTAACATTTGAGCATTTTTCTGTATACTTAAAGTCACACTATAGACATTACAAGCACAAGTTTCTCATATTGTAATATTCACACATTCAAATATTTAGGCAAAAATATTTTATTGTGAAAATAAGATACTGAATTGGTCTAATAATAGTAGAAATCTGAAGTAAACTTTTAATCTTGAGTTTCATACAGACTCTCTCTTATCAACCTCATATTTCACTTCAATACAGAAATTCTGTTCACTTGCACTTACTTATTATTTAGAAAATCAAAGCCACGCACAGAATATTAAGTGACTTAAACACGTATCTGAAGCATATTCAAAAGTTTATAAACCTTAAAATATAAACACTAATTTTTCATTTGAATAAGACTTGGAAATAAATCTGAATACATACTCCAGTTTGTTACCTGATACATTTCTTTTCCAAAAAGGTAATCCCAAACTTGTCTCTGAACATCCCAATTCACCAAGTAACCCTAAAAATATTTTAAATAAATTTAATCATCAAAAATATTTGAACAATTAAAACAAGTCAGATTAATATATTCTCAATTGCTGATTTCTTATCTCTTTACTAGAGGCCCGGTGCATGAATTCATGCACAGGTGGGGTCTGGCCAGCCCGCCCCAATCAGGCTGATCAGGCCTGGCCGGCTGGGGGGGAGAAACCATGGGTGGTTGGCCAGCCAGCCCCGCCCCCTGGTCAAACTCCCGGTTGAACTCCCGCTCAAGGGGACAATTTGCATGTTAGCATTTTATTATATAGGATGGTTACCTTCACCAGTCTAATGATGTTTGAATTTCAAACTAATTATGTTTTCCTCCTTTTAGAAGTTCAAAAAACTACAAGTTAACACTAACCAAAGTGTCAAGAGTTCAAAAGATGTAATAAGTACAGATGCTTCTCTCTGTGCTTTTCTTTAATGTGTTCATCTCATTTAGCTTTAACACAAACAAGTAAAATTCAGTACCCATACCTACATTCAGTAACTAAATTATGGTTGGTTATTTATTCATTTATTTTTTTTATTTGGGGGAAAGAGAGATGAGAGAGGGAAAAGGAAACAGTGATTTACTGTTTCATTTTTTTATGCATTCATTGGTTGATTCTTGCATGTGCCCTCACTGGGGATCAAACCTACCACATTGGCATATTGAGACAATACTAACAAACTGAACTACCCAGCCAACGCATGGTCATTTATTTTATTTTTATTTTGTTAATCCTCATCCCAGGATATTTTTTCCATTGATTTTTAGAGAGTGCAAGGGAAGGAGGGGGAGAGTGAGAGAGACATTGATTAGTTGCCTCATGCACATACCTCAAATGGGGTAGGGGACCGAATCTGAAATCCAGGTACATGCTCTTGACTGAGACTTGAACCCAAGATCCTTCAATGTGAGGACAGATGCTCTAACCACTTAGACACACCGGTCAGAGCGGTCATTTATTTTAATAGGGCACTTTAATTTCAAGTTTTGGTTTTAATAAGATCTTATTTAAAATTTAGCCCTGGCCAGTATAGATAAATTGGGCAACAGCCAGTGCACCAAAAAAAAAAAAAAAGGCTGCCAGTTCATTCCTGGTCATGGCACATGGTTATAGACTCAATCCCCAGTAGGGGGCGTGCAGAAGGCAGCAGATCAGGTTCTGCTCTCACATTGAAGTTTCTTTCCCTCTCCTAAATAAAAGTTTCTTCCTCTCTTTCTAAAAAAATCAATGAAAACATGGGACCTTTCAGTCCACAGGCCGACGCTCTATCCACTGAGCCAAACCGGTTTCGGCTAAATGGCATTTTTTTTCTGTAAAAGAACATTTATTAAGTAAATTACAAAGGTAGAAAAAGTAATTCCTAGAAGTAATGGCTTAGGAAGCAAGTTATGGAAGTAAAGGAAGGGCCCTGGGAGCTTGGAAGTGAGGAAGCTAATGGTAACATGCCTAGACCAGAAACAGGAAGGGGACGGGGAAGGCCTGGGCGTGCCCCAGGAGGGAGAGCACCTAAATGACATCTTTTAGAAATCTAAAAATATTTCCATACATTTTCTTATATGTACATTTAAAATCTTAGATATACATTTAAAGTTATCTTTAAATTTGGGTCTATAATGCTAGAAATGGCATATAATTGAATTACCTTCTGAAAAGGAAGGATGTAAAAGAGTCCCGAAGGGTCCTTTATTTCTTCTATCTGGTTAGCAGTAAAAGTTTTAAGACGTGCTGTTTTTGACCTGAACTGACAGTTAGGAATAACCCTATAAACAAAGAATCAAATAATATAATTATTCCCTAAATATTTAGTTGCTATAAATACTTTTACTTCACCACCACCCTGGATGCCAGAAAAATATCCAAAACCAGTGTTTCTCATTGTCTTCACATAATAAAAAATGCCTCCCCCCTGCCCCCAAAGGGCTCTAGTACATACCAGGTTATGTACTGGACCCTTTTTCTTTCTCAAATACTCCTCAAGAGGCCCTTACAGGTGGGTATTGGTCCCACCACCACACAGCTAACAGGAGACCTAAGTAAAGTTCCTGGTCTTTCTGGCTTTAATTCATAAATTTTTAATAAAATTCTGGTAAAAGGTTTACAAGTTCAAAATTCTGGCCATAAAATCAAGTTACCATAAAATCAAAATTTTCAATCAGTAAGATGCTTTGGGTACAGAAGTGGGAAAGTAGTACTTTTAAATGTGGTTGTGTCCACCATGAGCTTACAATCTGTTTAGGAAGACAAACTAGGTCCATTATCAGTACAGGTCTTTATGTTTAAATACATGATTTTTTTAAAGCTGCATCATAATCAATCATATGGTTGCATTACAATTTTAATATATCTGGTATTCTTGATTATTTAGCATCCTTCCTTAATTTTTGCTACCATACACGGCGGCTATAAATAATTCAGAGCATCCTGTATTTTACGTTTCTCAAGCACCTCTAATTGATTCCTTAGGTAACTGGTAACAGAACTGCTGATTCAGAGAATAAAAACCAACGATACACAGGTCTAAACATTTTCCAGAAGACTAACAATTTACATTCCTGAGCAGTTCAACTGTCCTCTTTCAAAAGAAAACGGAGAGGAAAAGAAAAACACACCCTTCTGTGAGTGACAGAAGAAAAGCGTGTCTTCAAATCTGTTTATTCTTCCTGCCAACACATATATTTAATAAATGCTATGGCAGTATTTGTTTAATTGACTATCATGGAGCAGGTCAGCCAATGAGCACTTCGAAGTTTGCACTTAGACAAAAGCTTTCGAGTTCCCCAGCTACTAAAACCGTGGTTTTTACATTGTGGGGGGTCATAAAACCCTCTGAGGATCTGAAGAAAGCTATCATCGCGTCTCCAAGAAAATGCACTTGCCCCCCCGACTCCTTCAGACTTGTGTATAAGGACCCCACCCTCGCTCCCCCAATTAGAAACCGCTTCTCTGGAACCTTTTTTTACAGAGCAATTTCCGGCTACAAAACAAAACACACGTCCCACTTCCGGGGCCGCACAGCCCAAAATCAACATCTGAATTCCAGTTCAAAGCTTCCCAGCCACCTAGCTCCCATGCGAGCATCCCTGGGGCTCGGCTTAGGGCCGCGCGGGGGCGGGGGCCCTGCACTGACGTCCCAGGGGTGAAGCGCAGTGTGTGAAACCACCAGGCCTCACTGCCTGGTTCCCCGGTGAAAACCAACACTTACGAGACATTCTCATGGCTGTAACCGATTTTGGCGTTGTAGGCTCCGTTATCCAACACTAACGTCGTCATTTTAGCACGAAACACAATGCCTCTCCTGTCTCTTGCCGACCCTTCTCACATTTTCTTCCGGCCCTCTATGGCTCGCAGGGGTGGCGCTTAAGGGCGCGCTTCCTGTATCCCTTAGCAACGGAGGACGCCGGAAGCGGCGGACAACCTCGCCACCCGCTCTTCAGCCAGTCAGGACTGGCCGTTCCCGCCTAACAGCCCAAAATTAAAATCTAGAAAAGTCATGGCGAGATCCGAGAGTGGAAGCTGCTAAAGGCTTTTCGCCCACTTCGAATTTGTCCTTTACTTCAAAGTTTGACTCGCTACTGCAACCTTCTTCTAATCCCTGTTGCAAACCAGCTGTGTGTGTGTGTGGTGGGGGGGGGGGGGGCGGGGGGGGGGGGTTCGGATAGTGTTCAGACAGTGACAATTATGTAGAATAAAGTGCAGAACCATACTCAGCATGGTATTAGGTATGAGGTCTCTTCAGTCTCATTCCCCTCAATTGCCCATCCTACTGTAGGATACAAGTACCCTGAATTAGAAATATGCTGTTCCTCAATGGCCTTGCTTTCTTACCCACATTCACACACTTCCCTTGCCTACTTGTTCTTCAGGACTGAGCTCTGCATCTTTATCTAAAAAACCTTCCCGGCCCTAACTGGTTTGGCTCAGTGGATAGAGCATCAGCCTGCGGACTGAAGGGTATCCGGTTTGATTCTGGTCAAGGGGATGTACCTTGGTTGCAGGCACATCACCAGTAGGGGGTGTGCAGGAGACAGCTGATTGATGTTTCTAACTCTCTATCCCTGTACGTCCTCTCTGTAAAAAAATCAATAAAATATATTTAAAAAAAATAAAAAACCTTCCTGACATTTGACACACCTCCTCTCCGTCCTCCTTCTTAAACTGAGGTGCTCCTCCTGTGTGTTCCTGTAATGTTCTCGGCTAACTCCTGTATATCATACTGGCTAAGAGAACGAATTTTGAATTGGAATCCAGACTCTGCCATAAAATAGCTGTGTGACCTTGGGCAATGAAGATGATGATTAATACACATCACTTAATGTGCATGGGTAAACTGTTCTAAGTTTTACATGTGTTAGCTAATTTAATCTTTAAAATTTCTGAATGAGGTACTATCATTGAAATCAAAGAGATGGTTAAGAGTGCAGTCTCTGAATTCAAACTCCTACTCAAATTCTGGCTCTGCCACTAGATGGCTGAGACAGGTTAGTTAATGTCTCTACGCCTTAGTTTCCTCATCTGTATAATCAAGTAATAACACCCCCTTGCAGAATTGTTTATGAAAAATAAATGATAAAGGTCAAGTGCCTGGTAATAGTTATCATCACATTGTAACTGGACAGTCAATGGGTCTGTGCTGCTAGTCACTACTTGCGCCAATTAAGCAGAGATAGGGTTGAGTCGTTTATTTCAATAATGCCAGCAGTATGGGAAAGCAACAAGTCATCCACAAAAATCGGCTCTGCAGCCCCCTCACCCCACAAACCAGCTGCTTATATAGGGTAAGACAAGGATTACATGGGGAAGTAGAGATTACAGGCGTGGGGAAGTAGGAAATGCAAGCTGGTGTGGGACTCCATTGTTTGGGCAACAAAGTTGTTAATCTTTCCATGATAATAGGCAATTCTTGAATGAGAATGGACCACATTCCAAGGTTGACCGTCCAAGGTTGACTCCCAGGTCCTGGGGGCATACAACTCCCAGGTTAGAATGCCCTTTCTTTAACCAGAACAAGGCAATCATGGTTAACAGAGTATGATGAATATTTCCCAATACCATAATTAATCCCGAATATTCTTTTTGCCCCTAACAACATTATTATTATTATTGTTCTCTTTCTTCCTTTTAGCTTATGATCAGTCTCTGTTAGCTTGCATAGATGGCATACTCCATGCAGCC